AACACAAGTTAAAGTTTATAATTTATTACAGAAATATTCTGAATTAAACTTTTCACATGCCTATAAAAATAACTCTCTTATTGATTTACAAACCACATCAACCTTTTCTGAACCTACCTTTAACTACCATATTGAACAATCCATTTTGCTTGAGTTATCTGATTCTAGTGAAAGTGATAGCGATAATGATGTTAATAGTTATGATAGTTATAGATATTTATTTAATTTACATGTTAATGATTGTTTTGATACGTTTGAAAAAGCTGAGAAAAAACTTGAAAGGTATATGATGAAATGTAGGCTTGCTATTAGGAAGGGTCATATGCATATGTGTGATGATAGAACAGTATGGAATACTACTTGGATATGTCATTTATTTGGACAATGGAAACCTAAAAAAATAATTGCCCCTGATAATCAACGTAATTGTGATACAAATATTTCAAATTGCAAATAGCATTGTAATTTTTCAATAGGTAATAAAGCAACAACAATATGTTGTTCTTTACTAGATGACAATTCTATTCACAACTACCCTATGGATGATAATATTAAAAGTAATGCCCCAAAATATTACAGGTTAAACAATGAAATGCTCAATAAAGTTGAGTTGTATTATCAATGTTATATTCAACCTAGTAAGATAATTAACTTACTCGAAAATGAATATCCCAATCATTCTATTAAACCACAAAATATCTATAATGTAATAAGCCAATTAAGAGGTACACATAAAAGGCTTAAAAATGATGCTGCTGATTTACTAAGTCATCTTTTACAACAAAAAAAAATGGACCCTGGTTGCATAGTTGAACCTGTAATTGGAGACATAGATAGTGAACTTAAAGGAATTTTTTGGTAGTCAGACGAACAAGTACAGTTATTAACAAGGTTTGGTAATGTTTGTTTATTGGATACAACTTGCAAGACTAATCGATATCGCCAACCATTAGTTTTGGTGATTGTGGTTAATAATAACACTAGAAGTAGATTAATTGCTCAGGCACTATTGCCAGATGAATCTATGGACTCTTTTAATTGGCTCTTTACATATCTCAAAAAAGGAAATCCAGAATATGAGCCTGGTGTTATTTTTTTAGATTCTGATCCTGCAATAACTGTGCGATTGCTAAGACATTTACAACAACTTATCATCACCTTTGTGTATTTCATATTAATAATAATATAAAAAAAAAGGCACAGTCAAAACTTGGTGAACAATATAATCAGTTTATGAATAACTTTTATGCTGCATGAAATTCATTACAAGAAGCTGTATTTGAATGCTGATATGAACATTTAATTAAAACTTACCCAGCTATAGAAAGTTATTTACATAAACTTTACTAATCAAAGCAAAGTTGGGCCTATTGTTTTACAACACAAGTTTTTAATGCTGGAATTCAGAGTACGCAATGTGTAGAATGCTACAATAAACTTATTAAGTCTAGTATTAACCAAACATCATCTTTGATTAAACTAAATAATGCAATTCAGGAGCATCTTGATTTGGAAAATAAGTATAGTTGTTCTCAAGAGACTATAAACTTTGATTATAATAGCAACTTACAATCAATAAGTAGAACATTATTTCCTAAAATTATTGTAATGTGTGAAAAATACTTTACTCCTCATATAATTGCTGAAATAAAGCAACAAATTCAACAAGCACTTTGGTATAGGTGTTATTCATATAATATTTTACAAGAACATTATGATAATGAACCTGAACTTATTGATGAATGTATTGAAGACAATTATGACTTGCAACAAATACATATTAACTCTATGCTAAACAATGTGTCAGATGATAAAATTCAAGTAGCTTGGCATGTAGTTAAACTTACGGGTTCTGCAAATATACACTATATTATTATATTTAAAGATAGTTCATTTTTATGTACATGTTCTTGGCCAGTTAGTTATGGAATTGTATGTCAGCATTACTTTGCTGTTCTTTTAGAATCAAATGTAGCTATTTTCTATATCTTATTTATAATGTAACGATGGTATAAAGATGCATATTTTAATGAACCAGAAGACACTTTTAATAATATTTTACCAATTTGACCACATAATAATAATCCTAATAGACTCATTACACCAATTCAATCTAATCAAAATATATTATTCAACTAATTTGATCAACTTACCTCTATACGTAAGGCTTCAGGATTCAAAAAACCCAATAAAAAATTCCTACAAGATTGAATACAGTATGGTAAAAGTTATGGATTGTTGCAAACTGTTCTAACATTAGCGATGGAGATGAAAACTGATGAGGAAGTAAATGATTAGTGTCATTAATTTATTCAGCAAAAAAAAGAGCTTCTAAAAGCTGATACTGCATCAAGTCAAGATCATGAAAATATTATTCAAGTAATTAATCCAAAAGTCATGCCAGTTAAGGGCCACCAAGTAGAAGACAGAAGAGTGTACTTGAATGAGAAGCTAAAAAACCATTAAGTACTAATTACAAAAATGCCAATCAATATACTTGCTCAAATTGTCATGCTAAAGAACACAATATTCGTTCATGTAATTTGCCAAGACATAGTTAAAGGTTCGGGTTAAATATAGTTAAAGGTTTGGGTTAAATATAGTTAAAGGTTTGGGTTAAATTAGTTGACAATATATTATTACTTAATGTAGTTGTTATATATACTGTATATAAAAAAATAGATTACTAGCAAATTTAATAAACAAAAGCTTATTTTGCTCTATTTAACTATTTTGCTTTGTATTGAATTTGTAGTTAACTACAAACAAAATAACAATTAAGCTCTAATTAACTATTGAATTTGTAATCATATTCAAACAAAATAATAATCAAATCGAACTGAACTTTTTGTCAAGTTTGGCAAAAAGTTCTGTTTGATTTGATTATCAAATTTGGTATATTATGTTTTTAACTAAGATAAAGCATAACTTGTCCAAGAGTACAACATTTTTTGCTGGAATTTTTTAGTATAAAGCACTGCAGGTACACTGACCATAAGCTGAGAGAAGAGAAGCTTATGGTCAACTACATTTTATTTTGATTTATATATTAATTAAGGTGCGATAATATATATTATTTAGAATTAGTTAGTAATAGGCATAACTATGTATATTATTGTTGATTAATAGATGTGACAATTTATTATTTATTATTTATTCTTCGTTAATAGGTGCAATAGTGTATATTATTTATTCTTCGTTAATAGGCACAGTAGTATTTATTATTTATTCTTGGTTATTTATTTATAGTTAATAAACATAGTAGTATAAATCAGATAATATTTATTATTGGTTAATAATAAGCACTGGTTAACTATAACCAGTAACTATTAACAGTCATCTGGTTAACTATAACCAGTGATTATTCATAGTTATCTGGTTATAATTAACCAGTGGCACAAATTAAAAATATCCTAAAATATAAAGTTAGAGTATATTAATAAATTTTGAAAATTATAATATTTTTTATAATTTTATAATTTACAAAATTTTACTAATAAATTCTAACTAAAAATATATTAAATTAAATATATTTATAAATTTTAAACTAAACATTAAATTAAACTTTTGTTATATTCAAGTTCAGTTTAAGTTTAAAATTAATAAAAAATTAAAGTTTAGTTCAAATTTAGTTTAGAATTAATTAAACTAAACTGAACTTATTTGAACTTAACCAAACTTTAAAACTCTAATAAAAGTAATATTATATAATAAGTAAATTTATTTAATATATCAGTTTAGGTTACAGATAAACTAGTCTAAGCTTTCATTTTTGTATGTAATTTTTATTTTGTTACAAATGATCTTAGTTTATTTCAGTACTTTTGTACTAAAATATATAGTTAAAATTATTAATAAAGATATAAGCAAAACCTTACCTTAACACTAAAAAAAAAATTTATTTTAATATATATTTATAAATTTTTTAATCTAGCAAAGTTTATATTTATAAATTTTTATTATTAGACCTGGCTCAGCCTATATTTATAATCTTTTTAGTTTGGCTTAGCCTACATTTAAAATTTTTTAGTTCAGCTCAGTCTGTATTTATAAATTTTTATTGTTAGACCTGATGAGACCACAGAACCTGATGTAGGCCTCTAACTTCAAACTATTTAATAGAATTATTATCATTATTTCTGCTAAAGGTTTTCATCTTAATAAAATTTGTTTTCTTAATGTTTGGCCAATTCTTATTAATAATATTTATAGCAACATATTCAAATAATCAGATCATATTGTTAATTAGTTTCTTAAACTAGTTGTTGTTTATAATCTTTGCTTTTATTTTTCTAAAAATTTGTTTCAGTATTGTCTTCTTATATAAATTTAATCTGTTTATTCAAATTAATAAAAGTGTTTAATAAATTTTTTGCTTTCTTATTAGTCTTAAATTGATTTCTTTACAATTTTTAAATCAAAAAAAAGAAAATAGTAAACATTTTACTAATTTTCATATCTTATAATTATTACTAAATATTATTTAGCAAATTAGTGAGTCTGTACTAATTTTTTTCAATTTTTATATAATCTATAATAGCTAAATTGAAATAGATATATTAGATTTGACTAATTGGTTTATCTATAAGTAAGTACTAATTTTCTCTTCTAAGTTTTTTTTTAATTTATTTTTTTATTAATTTTTTGTTTTTTCTTTTCTTCTTTCTATTAATATATCAAATCAGATTTAAATTTCTACTCTTATACTAACAACTTAGTTATATAATTTATAATGAATAATCAAATATGGTTTTAGTAAATTACAAATAAACAAACAAAGCTCTAACACTAGTTTTAATAATATTTTTTAGTTTAATTTGGATTATAGTTTACTTTTAATATAGGTTCAATATTTTAGTTTTATTTAATGAAATGTATTTACTTAGAAGTATTATAATTACTTTCTCCTTAAATAGAAAACCTTTTATTTATAATAAAAGTTTTATTTACAATTAAAATTAATATTTTTATATTATTTATTTATACAATATTAGCATTTAAATTTAATTTTTTTTTATTCTATAAAAAACTGAATGTACTATATAATATCGATTCACTTAAAATAATAAATATAATAAATGTAATAAAATTAATAAAAGTAAGAAAAGTAAGATTTCTTTTACTTTTTATGTAACTAATTACTTGGGTAAGTGATAGGATCTAAACAAAATAATCAATTATATATAATATATATTGTAATAATGAAAATTCTATAGAAAGAGTTTAGAAACAGAACTGAACAAAACAAACTTACATGATGTTATTAAAATTTCTTTTACCTAAACAATAACTAACTATTCATGTAATTTGTTCTGTCTCTAAGCTCTGTCTATAGAATTTTTACTGTAATAATGATAGTACCAATTCTGTGGCTTATAATATTAATAAAAAATTTTAAATATTATTTTACATCTTGTTAATAAATTAAATAATTTTTTAAATAGAATAATTTTTAATAAACTTTTATTTGTAATATTTATTATATTTAATACTAATTAACAATATAAGATATATAGTAAATAGTACAATATGATAGCATAAATTTAAATAACTTTTTTGAAAAATAAAATTTAATCTCACTATATTTAAATACACATATATTTATATAAAAAATGTGAATTTCTTTCAAGCATGTTTCTTTAAACTTTGAAATTTTTTTTCATAATATACCTAATCTTAATAATGAAGAAATATTATTAACATTCACCTAATCTTAAGATTATTTGTAAGAAGTAAATTTGGGTCTTATTAACAATATATATTAATATTTGTGCATATAGTACTAGTATAAAAAAAACTTATCAGTTATATATATGTACAATATATACTTTATCTTTGTATAACAAAAAAAATTTGCAATATATCAAACTTTAACATAGTTTTGATTACTTAGTAGATTTATCACCCCAGTTTGTATGTTGAATAATTATCTATTGTGAGTTCAATTTTTGGGATCACAGATACACAAATAGAGATTCTGATCCATACCTGATCCAAGGTTATGTGAAAAGTAACAGAAATGTTACTTCTCTTACTTCTGTTACTTATGTTATTTCTGCAATAAATAGAATATTAACCTTTTATTAAATTTAGTTAATATATAGCATATAAGAAAGATATTGCATTTATAACAGAAATTACTTACCAATGTAAATAAACTGTTTATTATAAATAAAAGACATTTCTGCCTGAGAAAAAAAAATAATGATCTCTATTCTAAAATAATTTCTGTATTCCTAATACAAATTTCCTAATAAAAATAAATATCTGCCTCCTAATAAAGTTAAAGTATTACTATACACAAACTAATAAACTATTGTTAATCCTGATGTTAACCTTAATATTCACCTATAAACCACTGCAACTGACTTTGGATGTTCACTGCAAGTCACATAACCAAGTTGTTAACACAAGCTTATATAGCATAGGCTAGTAAAAATAGTAGCTAAAAAAATGTTTCAGTTTCAGATAGATTTTTGGTAATAATAATTAAATACTGGCCAATCATTTTAAACACTACTAATAAGAGAATTTTAACTATAAAATAATTAAAATTTCCTTTTATTACTAATATTGATATTATATTCTATTACTTATACTATAGCAATTTATATTTTTATATTTGAAGTTTTATTACCTTATAAAAAAAATTGTCTTATTCAAATAAAATAAATTTTACTACTTATTCAAGTAAAAAAAAATAAAAATAAAATAAAAAACTTTTTTGCTAATATTGATACAATATTATTCTATCTGTTTTATTACTTTCAATATAGCAATTTATATTTATATTCAAAATTTCTATTATTATACAAAAAAAAACTTTCTTGTTCAAACAGTAATAAATTTTACAACTTATTCAAAAAAGAAACTTTTATCACTAACTTTGATATTATACATTCTATTACTTTTGCTATAATGAAGCAAAAAAAAAATTATTATAACAAACTTGCAAAGCACAACTTGTATTGGATGCCATGTTATATGAAATTCTGATGAATTCCTAAACAAAAAAGGTGTTTTTTAAAGAAGTGTCTTCAATGTCAGAATAATATTAAAATTACAGTCAAAAAAGAATAAAACCCAATTTGATTCAATAATTAGTTACTTGGAAATCACAGATACTATATATAGCTCTTTAACTTTATTGAATAATACTAACGAACATTATAAAAGAGAAAATGAAGAGCTAAATATAGATTTTCATGTTGAACTATCATTTCTTATTAATTTTATTTTAGAACAAGATGAATCACAAAAATAAAATAGAGATTCTAAAATAAGTCAGCACATAATATTTTTTATTATAGAAAGTGATGGTTATTCATAGATCTATTAAAATAAAATACAAAAAACAAAATCTTTTTTTTATATATTACTATAACTGTCAAATTGAACTTAAAAATAATAGGCCAAACATCCTAATATAGATAAGCAAAGAGACACACCAATATTCTTAAAATAAT